CTGTAGAGGGGGACAAGCTGGGGGCCCGTTAGAGAAGGAGCGGAAAGACTCTGTCCTCCTATCTCCGACCCTTGTCTCCCAGGCTTCCCTGCCGAGGCTTATGGGTCCTCCCAGTCCTCCGCTGGATCCTTCTGAGCCTAGTGACAGATGTCCGCCGTTCTTCCACTGCCGCACGTCTCTCTGTCCCCTGGATCCACCAGCTGCACAGGATTCCTTCACACCAAGGCTTCTCTGTGGCAGGACAGGCAGATGGAGGAATCGGGTAAGAACCATTACTTGGTGGGCGCGGGAGCTCCTTGACCATGCTGCCATAGAGCGCCATGCTCTTGCCCCCTTCCACAGTACCTTTGTTGATCACTACTCACCAACAAGTGACATTTTTGATGTCCTATGTGCATGAGGCCTTACTTTGCAAAAAAATAATTTTTTTGAGTAAATATGAAATCACACGATTAAGCCATGTTGTGGGTGAAACATATTGGGGACATGGCTTTGGATGGGAGTGAGCAGTGTGCTGTCACTGCAATAAACCTTGGCTGGATCTGAACATCTAAGGCAGGGGTGCCAAATGTAATTTTGTCACGTGCCCCATCAGCATTATGGTTGCCCTCAAAGGGCCGCATGTATCTGTAAGACTATATGTCCAGAGCACCCTTCCCCCTTACATCAGATGTCAAGCCCCCCTCACCATCAGAAGTCAAGAGCCCCCCACCTTTCCTTACATGTCAGTGCACCCCCCCCCCCCCCCCCTCGCCCTGTGCTGCTGCAGGGAAGAAGCTGGGGGCAGAGCTGAGAAGCAGAAAGTACAGGGTCTAGAGGAGGGCTGGGGTCAACGGTCGGAGTCTGCTGAATGCTGAGACCAGGGGAGGCAAAGACTAGGGGGGGGTGCTGCGGCTGTATAGAGAGGGGCAGGATCTGGAGGAGAAGTTCTGGCCTCCTCTATGCTGCCGACTGCTGTGCGTGGGCCACATGAAGTGGCCTGGTAGACTGGATTTGGCCTGCAGGCCTTGTGATTGACACACATGATCTACAGTGTGCCCCTGTTATTTTGGCTGCTAATTTAGAGTGGAGCAAGAGAACCCTCTGAGGCCTTGGCATCCAGCTGATTGCAGGGAATCAAGGAGTATACAGACTGGCCTGTAAACAATATACAGTAAGTAGTTGGGCTCATCTAACCTTTCTTTACTCTATCTGAAACAAAAGAAATAGACTTCATATACACTTCAAGGACATCTGACTCGCCTGATCTTAAACCTGTATTACTTGGTACTCTAGTGCAGCAGATCCAGACGGGTTTCGTAAGCGAGGTGTGTGCTTATTTTGGCCACCTGCCCTCCGACGTTGCAGCGTTGTCTGCTGATTGCACAGGTTATTTTTGGAAGGACATGATTCCGCAATGGGTGAAATGTTTGTTCTGCTTTGCCCAGCTGATTGTGTCATGAAGTCTGAAACAAGTCTAGCTCCGGCTCAAGCAGCTTCTGCGATAGTTAGGTTAACCAAGGGCTCCTGTGTTCCTAGTCATCCACCGGACAGGAAAGGTGTGTATTCTCCGCCATGGGGACCCAGACAGCAATACACCTCTAACACAGGTTGTAACCCTTCCTCATACTTCATTTCTTCAATCTGGATGTTGGCCAGACAAAAGAGGAAGAACAAGGGACTTGTTCACACGTTGGAGATACACGCGTCATAGCTCTTCCGTTGCAACACAGTATGCAGATGTCGTTGAACTACAATGCTGTTCACGTTGACCAGAACACCCCACAGTGCACCACAATCAATGCGTGATATGTATTGCATATGACGTGCTGCCAAAAATGCAGAGTATACTACATGTTTGTGCATTGAGGGTTGTTACAGCCCACTCATTTTATATAGGCTGCCAAACATAACATGCCTCAACCTATGAATAAAAAGTCGCCTATATTAAAAGCCAACATATTTTTAGGGGTTCTGAGGGACTCCCGTTTATTGGGGGTATGTAGGTGTGTGTGTGTGTGTGTATATATGTATGTATGTATGTATATATATATATATGTATATATATATATATGTATGTATATATGTATGTATATATGTATGTGTGTGTATATATTTATTATAAATAGGGCTACCCTGTTCAACTTACCAGCCAACCCCAGTCTAATAATGGCTTTTTTTCAGCAAGGAACATGGATAGGTATCACTTATCAAAAAGGGGGATAAGAAAGCCAGTTCAATCTGCCAGCCAGTTAGCCAACTATCAAAAACCAAATTAACCAGTCTAACAACATTTGTTTTAAAAACAGGGGTTTAGTTGGCACACATTTGCAAATACATACATAAGCCACAGAGCCGCATCACAGCACCCTGAGTATCTGTGCTCCTAACTTTATTTACATATATATATATATATATATATATATATATATATATATATATATATATATATATATATATATATATATATATATATATATATATATATATATATATATTTTTTTTTATGTGTACTTCATACAATTTTAAATATTAGAATACAATTTATGGTTTTAGGCAACTGCTGGGTCTCTTTCCTCTATATCCTCTGTTTATGATATATATTGTGGGTTGAGATGCACTTTATAGATCTGTTGTGCGGGAATATGGTATTTGAGATTTACCTGACCTTGTGTGCTCCCCTGTCTTCATCTTGAGCACTGATGCAATTTTATCTAATTTTGTATTTTTTTTGTTAAGCCCAATTCCTGAAAATGTAATAATCTCTTTATAGTAAGCTGCGTGCACACTGCAGGGTTTAATTGATTAGGTCTTGTTAAAGCGGTTCTAAAGGCAGAAGGGTTTTCTCTTGCGTCCATTGATGGACAGCGCTGCTTCTTCTTGACCATAGGGTTAAATCGCCACCTGCGGGAGTAGGACTAGGCAGAAAAAAAACAGTGCATCGGCTATGGGCAGTCCTAGCTGGCATAACCCTCCGCTATAAGTAATCCAGTTGTGTTCTGTTTAGTGTAGGATTGGGAACTAGCTTCTTGCTGGGACCTGTGTTCCAAAGCTTTTTTCTCCTTTTTTTTTTTTTTTTCTTTTTTTCTTTCTCTTTGGGTGACTAGCATGTTTTCCTGGTTACTCTAGTTGGTTTTTGGTTTGCCCACCCCTCATTGAGCCACTGCTTTGGGATGTTCCTATGGTCAAGAATAAGAAGCTGTGTCCATCAATGAACGTAAGACAAAAAAGGGATTTTTTTTTTTTTTTTTTATTCACTGTAAAATCACTTTCTCTGACTTCAGTGACAGAGCACCCACCCCTCTGTTGGATTTTGTACTTCTAACACTGCTTGGTGACTATCTGGATTGCCTGTAGCAGAAGGGGGGTTTTATGCCAGCTTAGACCGCCCATAAGCAGTTGTCCTTTTTTTTTTTTTTTTTTTTTTTTTTTTTTCTCTGCATAGTCCTACCCCTGCAGGTGGTGATATAACCCTATGGGCAAAAAAATAAGAAGAAGCTGTGTCCGTCAAGGAACTTGGAGAAAGGGATTTTACTGTAACAAATTTTTTTTTTAGCTTACTACATTCTATGCATGATGGTAAAAAACCTTCTGGGTGCAACTTCCCCCAGCCCCCTCTTATACTTACCCAAGCCCCATCTCGATCCAGCTATGTGCATGAGAGCAGTGGCTTTCCTGGGTCTCTTTCTCCTCATTGGCTCACACAGAAGCTCCTGTCAATCACAGCCAGTGAGCCAATGAGGAGAGAGCGAGGGGCGGGGCCGAGCCACAGTGTGTGTGAATGTATAATGTCCCTTCATAGGAGTGCGGCTCGGGAGCGAGCCTGCTCAAGTGTCCCTATAGCAGGAGACTTGCTGTTGGGGGCACTTGGTGTGGGGAGGTGCCGGGAGTGCCAGCATGGGACCCCAGAAGAGGAGGATTGGAGTTTTTTAACAAAACAAAAAAACAGAACAAAAAAAAGCCTTTAGTATTACTTTAAAGTAGTTTTAATTGCCCGATCCTCGGCTAGACCGGTCCTTGCAGTGTCTTGCTCCTATTCTCTAGCAGTCTAAGGTCCTGGCATCATGAAAACCAGTTCAGGGTCCATAGCCCTGTGTTGGATGTGATGAGACCAAAATGAAAATCCACCGACAGAGCATAGGAAAGTGGAGGATCTGGTAAGTTAGCAGTTTTCCTCTCCCTTAGAATCGGTAAGCAGGTAAAGCAGAACTCCCAAGTTCTATCTAACTTTAGTTTGTTTGGACCAAGCTGGTCTAAATGAACTTGAACCATTATCTTCACAAACAGTTGCCTCAGCTACATACAGTATCCAGGGCTGTGTTTCAGCAGTGGGGAGAGACCCTCCCCTGAGTCTAGGCGCTGCTCAGCCGTTCAGAGGAAGCCTTGTATTCAATGAATATATTTAAAGCCTCCTCTGATAGGTTTAGGCAGAGAGGTGGGCTGATGATGTCTCAAGCTCTGCCTCAGCCAATCAGAGGAGTCAGTTATCCAATTTTAGAATTAAAGTGGTTGTAAATACATATACCCAGTGAAGTGACTGGCCTCAGGTGATACACAGAGATGGCACAAATCCTCCTACATAGGTTGTACCTGTTCATCTGCAGCCATCTGTCCTCTACATCCATTCAAGTCCAGAATTTACACTGGATCTCTCAGCTCTGAAAAGCAAGGGGTTGTGGAGCTTAAGTTACACTGCAGAACACCGTGAGAGCTGATTGGCGGGAAGGGACAACCCCCCCCCCCCCTTAAACCCTTCACACGGGAACAGAGCTGAGGCTATCAGTCACAGGCTGTGTGCTGGAGCTCCCTCCCCTGTCGCCTTTTTTTTCTTAGTGTCAGGAAAATCTGTCAGAAGTGATAGCAGAGGACCAAGGCAGCAAACAAAGATGACACTTTGTGCTTTTTTTGTGTCCACTGTAGCATTGATATCAGAAGGTTGAGTTTCCTCTTAAACGTCTTTTTGTTTCTAAGATACAATTTTGTTTCTTTATTTTCTAGAAACTAAAGTGGCGTGAGGTTTGATGGCGATGGCTTTCTGCGCAAAAATTAGAAACGCCAGAAAGTACGAAGTGGATGTGGCGCCTCCTAAAGGAATGGAGGTTCATTTCTACGTAGCGGATAAGGCCCCGCTCTTGTACACGGAAGGGACGTATACTTCGGAGGATGTGCTTATCGAAGCGGCTCAGAAATGCAGTAAGTAGATCTCGGCTTTTTTTTTTGCTGTGGAAAACACCTTCAGTCCCTCATTATGTTCTGTGAATAGGAGGTGAGATCCTATTATTCAAATGTTCCATCACTCATTCACAGAATGCAATGCATTGTGGGAGTGTAGAAGGAAGAACTGGTGGTGCATCTTGGTAGTATTTAACTCTCAAAACGCTGGAAGACAGCTTGATAAGGATAGTGTACGGTGGGAGGGGGACGACGAGGGAAAGATCTGTAGCAAAACGGATATCTGCAAATAATGGGACATCTCACCATTACACTAATGTCTTGATCAGCCTGTCTTAACCAGGGTGCCTTGAGGCTTCTTCAGGGGTGCCTTGAGGCTTCTTCAGGGATGCCTTGAGGCTTCTTCAGGGGTGCCTTGGCAAAATGTCTAAAAATTGCCCAAAACTTAAATACAAGCCAGCAGGTGGAACAAGCCAGTCTTTTAGTTACACAAAGTCAAAGGTTTTCATTGTGCACCATTACGACCTTCTAGCCACCGGCGACCTGACAACCAATGACATCATCAGTTGATAAGGAGGATGTTGGCTGCCTGCACAGCATCCTAGTTTGCCCCTCCCCCGCCCCTCTCCATCAGTGCTGGGGTCACATTAGCTCAGTGATGGAGAAAAACTAGAGGAGAAGAGAAACATAGGAATACTAGTCGGTACCAGTGTGCAAAAGTGTATTTGCTTTGGAAGAATAAATCCCCTCTAATGTTTGGTGTCCTACATGTGTGGATGTTGCTGCATTATATAAAACGATTAGAATAGTTTTTCACATTTTAGAATGGGGTGTCCTTTAAAAATATGGACAGTCTCGAGGCACCCCAAGACTGTCCATAATTTTAAAAAAAGGGTGCATCAGGACTGTCCATAATTTTAAAGGGTACCTTGATTGGAAAAAAGGTTGAGAAACACTGGTCTAGGGTACTGTATCCTCAAATAATATATACTGAACTTCAGTTTTGCAGTGCAAGAGTTTGCAAAAAGTTTTTAAAAAGTTAACTGTTGATCCTGCCAGAAATCTAGTGAGCGGAAAATGTCCTGTGCTCTTTTCCTGTGATGCACTTTTATCTGTTACATTATTGCCAGCTATCTCTGGTGTACAGATACCCAGGGGCATCCCTAGGTTTGGTGTCACCCGGTGCGATAACACTTGGTCACACCCCCTCCGACGATCCCTGCAGAATGGATCGGACCTGCAGATTGAGCATAATGGATCGGACTCTGATCCATCCTGCGGGGGATCTTTGGCTTGCTTTACAACTTACCTTTTCATGGAGCGGGTCCGGTGTCACCCCCGTATAGGTTGCATGCTGACGATCCCCGCAGGATGGATCGGATCTGAGAATTGAGTATAATGTATTGGAGTCCGATCCATTATGCTCACGAATCTGCAGATCCGATCCATCCTGCGGGGATCATCGGCATGCAACCTATACGGGGTGACACCGGACCCGCTCCACGAAAAGGTAAGTTGTAAAGCTAGCCGACTATCCCCGCAGGATGGATCGGATCTGCGGATTGGGGAGGATAATGGATTGAACTCCGATCCATTATGCTCAATCCGTAGATCCGATCCATCCTGCAGGGATAGTCGGCTAGCTTTACAACTTACCTTTTCGTGGAGCGGGTCCGGTGTCAACCCGTGCAGTAGGTGTCATCTGGTGCGGCGCGCACCCCCTGCACCTGCCTAGGGACGCCACTGCAGATACCTCCTCTCTATGCTATGGAGATAGGAAGGTGTTCTGTAATCCCATCCTGCGGTGGTAACACTGCTCCTCCATAGATTATTATTATTATATCGAGTTTATATAGCGCCAAAGGGTTTGCTCAGCGCTGTACAATAGAGGGGGGGACAATACATGAAACATTACAGCAACTACAAACAGCACACGAGGGGTTAGAGGGCCCTACTCTTTCGAGCTTACAATCTAGGAGGGAGGGGGTAGTGGTACAGGAGGAAGTGGCTGTGGGGGATGGAGTGGTAGGAGGAATGAAGGAGGGATGGCTGTTATGTAAGGGTGGGGTAGGCTTCCCTGAAGAGGTGGGTTTTCAGGGAGCGCCTGAAGGAGAGGAGGGAAGGTGACAGTCTGATGGATTGGGGTAGTGAGTTCCAGAGGATGGGGGGAGGACTTGGAGAAGTCTTGCAGTCATGCGTGGGAGGAGGAGACCAGGGAGCAAGATAGGAGGTCCTGTGAGGAGCGAAGGGTACGGGTAGGGTGGTACCTGGGAATCAGGTTGGTGAGGTAGTTAGGGGCAGTGTTGTGAATGGCTTTGTAGGTCAGAGTGAGTAATTTGAATTTGATGCGTTGGGCGATAGGGAGCCAGTGGAGGGATAGCAAAGGGGGTGTCAGATGTGGAGCGGTTGGTGAGGTGGATGAGTCTAACCGCTGAGTTCAGGATGGTCTGAAGTGGGGAGAGCCTGCACTGGGGTAGGCCGGTGAGGAGGGAGTTGCAGTAGTCCAGGCGTGAGATAATCAGGGAGTGTACGAGTAGTTTAGTGGTGTCTGGGGTAAGGAAGGAGCGTATCTTGACGATGTTGCGGAGGTGGAGCCTGCATGTGTTTGTGAGAGATTTAACATGAGGTTGGAAGGAAAGGTTTGAGTCCAGAATGACGCCAAGGACCTTGGCTTGCTGGGCGCAGGATTGATGGTGGTGTTGTTGGTAGTGATGGATAGGATGGGGGGGGGGGGCACGGGCAGGGGGAAAGACGAGGAGCTTGGTTTTGGCGAGGTTAAGCTTAATGGAGCGACATCCAGTCAGAGATGTTGTTTAGGAGGTGAGTGATGCGGGCGGAGAATGTGGGGGTGAGGTGAGGGGTGGAGAGGTAAATTTGAGTGTCATCAGCGTAGAGGTGGTAGTTGAAGCCGTGGGAGTGTATGAGTTTGCCAAGATATACTATGGTGAGTGTTACTGGCAGAATTACCAGGTTAAAAAAATGGAACAAAAAGCTTGGGAAAAAAAAAAAAAAAAAACTAATGCAGCCACCACATCTGAGAAATGGTAGGCTGCAATATATTCTAATGCTGCATTCTTTTAACAGTGCTTAGAGTTTAACATATATATTTAAAATCAAATGCTAGAGCTGGGCTCTAAGAACATTTATTGTGGTTTGGGCCTGAAGCAGTCTGGAACAGAGAAAAAATTGTCTTGTTTTGAATGTGTGTGAATAAATATTATTTTTTTAACCCAAAAACTTTGTTAGAATTACAAAATATATATATTTTTTAGTTTAAATTACGTGGAGGATATATTATGTAGTCACTTCAGATGCAGATGGATTGATATTTTTTAGGTGACTGTGGGGTTTAATTACTAAAGCTGGAGAGGGCAAAAATCACTCATTTCTGCATAGAAACCAATCAGCTTCCAGCTTTTATTGCCAAAGTTTAACTGAACAAGCTGAGGTTAGAAGCTGATTGGCTGCCATGCACAGCTGCTCCAGTTTTAGCAAGGCCCGTTCACACAGTTCTGTATGTCCGTTTACGGATGCAAAATTGACACCCATGCATTTCTATGGACTAGCGGATGTAAACGGATAATCATCTGTTTACATCTGTTAATGTCCGCATCCGTTAGCATCTGTTTTTTTTGAACGGAAGAAAACCTCTTTTTCTTCAGTTAACCTATTTCCTGTCCGGACACTTTCACCCCCTTCCTGTCCAGGGCAATTTTCAGCTTTCAGCACTATCACACTTTGAATGACAGTTGCGCGGTCATGCAACACTGTACCCATATGAATTTTTTACCATTTTTTTGAGGCAGATAAAGCTTTATTTTGGTGGTATTTATTCACCGCTGGGATTTTTATTGTTTTTGCTATGTAAATGAAATGTCCAAAAATTTAGAAAGTTTTTTTCTTATAAAATTTTGCAAATAAATATTTCACCATAAATCTTGGCCAAAATTCATTCAGTTATCTTTTTAGTAAAAAAAGAAAAAGCCAAATTAGTTTATAACCAAAAATTATAATTTTTAAACATTTTGTTTACATTTTTATTTTATATTATTTTATTATTTTTTACATACTGTCACCCTAGCAGTACAGTGTCACCATGGTGACACTGTACTACTTTCGGGGGTGAAGATTTTTTTTTTTCCTTTTTTCACACTGATTGCTTTTACACCCATATAGGATGTAAAAGCAATCATTTCTCTTTCTCTGTCTGCATTCTTGCAGTCATTGAGAACTGAGTGAGCTGTGATTGGTCACAGCTTGTCACATGGTACAAGGCAGTTGTGAATAGCCCTGTACCATGTGACCTCTGTGATCATTCACAGATTTCACACGTAGTAAGCAATGATGTCACAAGTGATATCTTGCTTACTACTTTGCATGTGATCACTGATTGGCCAATCAGTGATCACATGATCGGGACCTTGTACAGAAGTCCCGTCCGATCGGTGTTTCACTGTGTCTGGAGGACACAGCGGGCACCGGAACGCGGTGCTGCGCGCTCCCGGGGGAGCGCGCACAAGCAGGGTGCGGGGAGGCCGTTAATAAACAGCCACCTGACCCTGCAGTGCCACCGTCAGGCCGTTTATATACAACGGCCGGACGGGGGAGGTGGTTAAAAAAAAAAAAAAAAAAAATTGAACGGACAAAAAAACAATCCGGAATGCCCATGTGAAAGGGGCCTAAATCCTACGCCTGTGTGTCAATGGCTCCTTCTCATTTGACTGCAGCAACCTGGATTCAGGTTATTATAATTTTAGCCACTTTGTACATAGTCCTTGCACAAACACATGTGCTTCATGGTATTTAACAGAGTTCTATGAAAAAAACGGTGACATTTATGTATTTTATTTCAGACATTTCTCCTCTGTGCCACAATTTATTTGCACTGTACAATGAGAAAGAGAACCTTTGGCTGCCACCAAATTATCACTTCAAGATTACGCCCGGTTTTTCTATGAAGCTTTATTACCGTGTCCGGTAAGTGGTCCTTTTCTTGGATTGTATTGAAAATCTTTTCTTTCAGCAACAAAACCACAAGGCCTACCTTGGTGGTCCAAGGCCCAGCGGTAGTGCACAGAGATATCGGTCTCTGGCTATCTTCCCAGATGGTACAGGGCCATTCACAACAGTCTTGTATCATATGACAAGCTGTGACCAATCACAGCTCACACAGTATTTCTCAATGGCTGCAAGAATGCAGTCAGAGAGGAGAAATTATTGCTTTTACAGCCTTTATGGGTGTAAAAGCAATCGGTGTAAAAAAAAAAAAAAAAAAAAAAAAAAAAAAATCCTCATCGCCCCCCACAAGTAGTACAGTGTCACTATGGTGACACTGTACTGCTAGGGTGACAGTATGTTAAAAAAAAAAAAAAATATGTAAACCTTTTTGAAAAATTATAATTTTTGGTTATAAACTAATTTGGATTTTTTTTTACTAAAAAGATAACTGAATAAATTTTGGCCAAGATTTATGAAGAAAGATTATTTATTTGCAAAAATTTATAAGAAAAACACTTTTTTTTTTTCAAAATTTTTGGACATTTTCGTTTATATAGCAAAAAAAATAAAAATCCCAGCGGTGAATAAATACCACCAAACTAAAGTTTTTATCTGTCTCTAAAAAAAAAAAAAATGCTAAAAAATTCATATGGATACAGTGTTGCATGACCACGCAATTGTCATTCAATGTGTGAGAGCACTCAAAGCTGAAAATTTGCCTGGACTGGAAGGGGGTGAAAGTGTCCGGACGTGAAGTGGTTAAGGAAGCCAGCTGAGATGTCCTTAACCTCTTCACGCCAACCGCACGCAAATGTGCGGCCTCCCGGCGTTTGGGCCTAGATGCCGAGCGGTCGCACATTTGCATGCAATTAAAAAAAGACGTGCTGAGAGCGCGCGCCCTGCGCGCTCCCAGCACACATGTCCGGTACTCATGGAAAGGTCCCGATCTCCTCTTTCGATCAGGACCTTTCCTGATCATGTGACCGTCGTGTCACGGCAGTCACATGACCCTAAAACCCCGCCCCGGATCACGGTGTCAGAAACCCCTTAAAGGGCCGGGAGGCGCAGGCGTGAAGGGGTTAACGGATAACTCATCAGCTGTCAGCGGGTGTCTCATTGACAGCTGAATGAAAAGAAAACATGCCAGCAATTATTGCAAATGATTAAAAAAAGCTGTGTGGGGCTCCCCCCCCCCCCATCCTTACCAGGCCCTTGGGTCTGGTATTGATTTTAAGGAAAACCCCATACCAGGTCTGGTATGGATTTTGGGGGAGCCCCACACCAAAATAAAAAGGAAAAAAAAAATGGCGTGCGGGTCTCCTCACATTCCTAAGGGATTTGTGGTCTGATATGGATCGGGTGGGGACCCTAGGGGTTGGGGGTGGGGAACACCTTGCTGCATCTGAGAAAATACTGCATATGATACCGCCAGCAAAAACCCTGGTGAAAAATATTTTGTTTTTTTATTTTCTGCTGTGTTTTTGCATTGGATGTAACAGCTCACTGCATTTTTTTTTGTGGTATTACCAACACATTTTTAATTTTTCGTTTTAAATACTGCAGAATCCTTTTTTTTTTGTTTCTTTTTTTTGTGAATTGGACATTTTGTTACTGCATGCGATAATTTATGCAAATGAGTCACATGACCGTGTTCTCGCAAGCGGTAACCTAGTGAATTAACCCCGTAGTGTCCTAGTTTCCCTCTAGTATTAGTCAGAAGCTCTGTTCGTACACCTTCTCCCCTTTGTAATTGTGGACAACATCCTAACAATTCCTAGTGCATACTATATACACCCACCGGCCACTTTATTAGGTACGTCTGTTCAATTGCTTGGTAACACAAATTGCTGATCAGCCAATCGCATGGCAGCAACTCAATGCATTTAGACGTGGTGAAGACGACTTGCTGAAGTGACTTTGAACGTGACATGGTTGTTGGTGCCAGATGGGCTGGTCTGAGTATTTCAACAACTGCTGATCTACTGAGATCTTCACGCACAACCATCTCTAGGGTTTACAGAGAATGATCCGAAAAAGAGAAAATATCCAGTGAGCGGCAGTTGTGTGGAGGAAAATGCCTGGTTGATGTCAGAAGTCAGAGGAGAATGGGCAGACTGGTTGCTGTGACATTCAGATGGTAGGGTCAGAATTTGTCGTAAACAACATGAAAGCATGGATCCATCCTGCCTTGTATCCATGGTTCAGGATGGTGGTGGTGTCATGGTGTGGTGGATCCATCCTGCCTTGTATCAACGGGTTCTGGGGCTGGTGGTGGTGGTGTCATGGTGTGGTGGTGGGATCCATCCTGCTTTGTATCAATGGTTCAGGCTGGTGGTGTCATGGTGTGGTGGATCCATCCTGCCTTGTATCAACGGTTCAGGCTGGGCTGGTGGTGGTGGTGTCATGGGTGTGGTGGATCCATCCTGCCTTGTATTAATGGTTCAGGCTGGTGGTGGTGGTGTTATGGTGAGGTGGATCCATCCTGCCTTGTATCAATGGTTCAGGCTGGTGGTGGCGGTGTCATGGTGTGGTGGATCCATCCTGCCTGGTATCAATGGTTCAGGCTGGTGGTGGTGGTCTCATGGTGTGGTGGATCCATCCTGCCTTGTATCAATGGTTCAGGCTGGGTGGTGGTGGTGTCATGGTGTGGGGGATCCATCCTGCCTTGTATCAATTCAGGCTGGTGGTGTCATGGTGTGGTTGGATCCATCCTGCCTTGTATCAACGGTTCAGGCTGGTGTTGGTGGTGTCATGGTGTGGGAGAGATTTTCTTGGCATTAGCAAGGTGTACCTAATAAAGTGGCCGGTGTGTGTATATGTATAAATTGCTCTGTAGCATCTACATTGGTTTGTTTTTCATGTATAAGCCCCAGTTAACATCTATGCTGCCATGCGTGCCGCGTTTTGCACGGGTGTGAGAGCCTATTCATTTGAATGGACTCCCGTGACACGCAGGGAAGAAGTCCCTGCAGTTCTGAAAATGCAGCCCGCACAGGAACCTCAGTTCTTAGTACAGTTGCGGTTTCCAGTGCGGGCGGCGTGCCATTAGAACTAATGGCACGCCGCCCGCGGGTCCGTATTCCTCTGTGCGGGTGGTGCGGCTGCACAGATTTTCGTGCGGATCCGCAGCGGCACCACCCACATAGATGTGAACCTAGTTGAAGGGAACCACACAGACATTTTTCCTTTCAGATTTTTTAATAAAATGTATTGGGCTGAATTTCTTACGATATAGCAGTAATTATTTCCCATAATGACTGCAATCAGGACCAGCGACAACAGAAGATAAGTCCTATAGCTGAAAATAACTGCAAATCATTCCTGAATTGAGCCCATTGTCCTCTGTGCAGCACCTGGCCGTGTCTGATGGCAGTGCAGCTGCTTCCAACGACTTGTACACCAAGGTCATTTGCATGTTTGCAAAACAGAGGAACAGTTGCAGGTTTTGTCTCCTGTTATGAGGACAGAGTCCTGCCTTCTACCATTTCCATCAAATCCAGGATGTCATTTAGGTGCCTACCTTTTTGCCCTCCATTTTTTTTTTTTTTTGGGTGATTTTGCTGCACATCCAGTAGGTTGTGTACTGCTCATGCACCTCACTTTCCATGTGCTCAGTAAATGTGAGATACTGCTGTGAGTATGCAATGCCAGAGTAACATTCACAGTTTCATCCAGCCTTCGTAACTCTCGCCCCCCACCTTAATTGAATGAATAGGCAATTCCCACACAACAAACACTTTTCTCCTGCGCTAGGAAAGGACTCAGTAGACCCAATAGGAATGTTCTGGAATTTTCTGGAATATGCACTGCTTGCTGCCCTCAACAGACCGGGGTGGTCCGAATACACTGGATACAAATGGAGAAACAGAAAAAGGGCGCACCGACCTAGTGCATTATGTTTAAAATAATTTATTAAAGAAACAAAAATAGGTATCATACTCAACAATGGACATAATAACACAGGCATGTCAAACTGAACAAGGTGTATGATCCAAACAACATCTGAGTCCATACGATGGAACCCTGGATGACCAACTGCTAACGCGTTTCGAGGACACAACCTCTTCCTCAGAGCCAACTTGGGGTTGTGTCCTCGAAACGCGTTAACCAGTTGGTCATCCAGGGTTCCATCGTATGGACTCAGATGTTGTTTGGATCATACATCTTGTTCAGTTTGACATGCCTGTGTTATTATGTCCATTGTGAGTATGATACCTATTTTTGTTTCTTTAATAAATTATTTTAAACGATAATGCACTAGGTCGGTGCGCCCTTTTTCTGTTTCTCCATTTAAATTGAATAGGGACAGACTGCATAATGTAGTGTGCTTACAGAAGGGGGACTGTAGAAGTGCTTTTTTTTTTTTAATTCTGCTCCAAAAGAGCATTTATAACTGTTTGGATCTATACCCCTTTTTCACAGGGTACAGACTCCATTTTGATCAGCAGGGAATCTGTCTGCTGATCAGAGCGTGAGCATGACAGGTCCTTGTCCCCTCCGTTTCTGCAGAGCAGACACAGACTGAGCATGCTCCACTCTGTGGGTGGCCGGGTATATATGGACTCCATTGTCCTTTTGCACCCGACTTCCCGCTGATCTTCTTGAATGGAAGGGCATGGATTCCCTTCCTTTTTTTTTTTTTTTTTTTCTTTTTTTAGCGGACTGGATCAGACCCCTGTCCATAGGGGTAAATTAACCTTCCGATCAGGTTGGACTCCTTTCACACAAAGTGTCCAATCAGATCCAAGAGTGCAGCAGGAGCGTACCAACAGGGGTCGCAGTTGCAACCCAGCCCCATGCTGTACCGGTCCCGCGCGGCCTCCCTGTGTGCCTGGATTGGAGGAGCGGCAGGAGAGGCTGCATTTAGAGGAACTGATCTCTGTGTTCCTCCTGCAGCCGCTGAATGCCTGCGGGAGGGAGAGGAGGAGAAGCCAGCATTCAGCGGCTGCAGGAGGAACATGGAGAGATCGGTTCCTCTA